TCACGTGAATTAACCAATCAAATCACGAATTTTTGTTGACCCGGATCAGCCCGGCGAAGCAAAAAAAAATGAAAAACGCAAAAAAATACACTAATAAAAAAATGTCGGGACGGTAATTTTATCTATACGTATACCTGCTAACCCTAACCCTAACGCAGGCCTAACTCTAACCCTAAAGTTAATAATAATTTTATCGATTTTGTGTAACCTACTTCGCTTTAGACGTCCCCCATATTTGGGGAATAGCTAAAGCCAGGTGTGTTTATATGTTTTTGATTGTTTAATTAAAATTAGGGTAGGAGTTAGGGTTAGGGCATGTTTTATAGGTAAAATTGTCTTCCTGACATTTTTTATTAATGCTTCAAGACAGGTTTAGATACTCGTTTCTTTTTTTCTTTGTTTTTGTCTTGTCAGACTGATCTGAGAAGATTATATTTATAATTTGATTAGCTGTTGGTCACATAAGCACATCTAGCTTTAGATAACTTCCAAATATGGAGGATGACTAAAGCCATGTACCATGTGATGTAATTATTAAGAGGCGTAATTATCATATACCAATTCAATAACTGTACGTATAATATGTAGATATTAGGTATCAAATATCTGATATATATTTAGTATATACGTATAGTACATATACATATATTTTTTTGTAGTAAAACCTGTTGCTATTTCTTCTTTCTCACAAAATACAATATTTTGATACTTTTTTTTTTTTTTAACATTTTTTTTTTTTTTTTTTTTTTTTTTTTTAACTAAGTAGGTTTTGTAAGTTTTTTTTTCGCAAAAATATTTTCAAATATTAATATAAAACACCTACTTACACAAATAAGCATATACTTTTTCATCTTAAAGTAAACTGCCTACATATATACAAGTGTATCTAAATTTTTAAAAATTTTTTTAATAAAGTGGACTTCTCTGTAACGAATATATTTTTTAAATTTTTTAAAAAGCAAAATTTTTTTTTTTTAAAAAAAAAACCTTTTTGATATTATGAATTCAAATCTGAATTTAACTTCTGATCAGAAGTACAATATTCTTTTTAACATTTATTAACTAGTTGAGATCCCACTAGACAAGTTTAATAGTGACTAGTAGTCTCTAGTCTTAAATATTTGGGTTCAATATAATTACAAGAATTACACAAATAGAAACTTCTAGAAGACATATAACTGCTAGTTCACCAAATATTATTTATCAAATACACGAAAGGAAGGAATACCGAATAAAAAGTGCTGAAAAACTAAGGTTCGATCTGAGAATTTATGCTCTGCCAAAATTAAAATATTTAGAATTTTTACAGAAATGAAAGTTGGTGTTGAATAATATAAAGATTCACCTGATCATATGCATATATTAGAGGATAATGAAAAGCTTAAACAATTAAAGGTAGTTCAGGTTTTAGTTGAGAGGGAAGCTGTAAAAAACTATTTGCTCCTAGTAATAGTTAATACTGTTAAAGAATATAGAACAGAGAAATTAGATCTTAAGAGAAGCCTAAAAGAATTAAAGTGCAAGAAGGTTATTAATATATAATATAAAGTTCGAAGTTCCTAGGAAGCCTCCTTTATTAGTAGTTCAAGACTAAAGTTAGATATCCAAGAGACAGTTTCTTTTTTAAAAAACCATGAGTATTAGGTTAAACGTTATGAAATTACAAGTAAATATACTCATGATTTTGTTTTCGCATATAACAAACAATTAGAAAAACTTCGATATTTTGGATAGCTTACTCTTCTTGATTCTACTCATAAGACTAACAAATATAATTAGTGCTTATTTACCTTGTACATTTGCGATAGTTATTGATATTAGGCTATTAGTTCCTATTTTTATGTAAATTATAAGAAAAGTAATACAGTCGCAGAAGTATTAAAAATAATAAGATATTTTGAATACCATTAGATGCCTCAGTACTTTTTTATTAATCAAAGCAACGTAAAATCCAATGCTATCAAGTTGGCTTTCTCAGGTCTTCAAGTGGATAAGCAAGAATATGATGTTATTTACTATACTGTATATGTTATATGAATCTGGCTCAGTAAGGTATATGATGTAAAAACTAGAAATGAAATGATTTATACTATGCATAAATGGATAATGATTAGTTGTGAGGAAGTTATTAAATAAGCAGTTGCAAACTGCTTTGTCCCTACTATAAAAAAATATATAGAACAAAATTATGCCAAAAATACCTACTAGTTGGCTCTTTAGACTCACCAGAATTCACTACTTCTCTTGCAAATAACTTCTACTAACTTTCTAGAATTGTACTACAGTGAATTAAAGCGAATGACTTCCTCTTATAACGGTCTAATTGGTGCATGCAATAAAATTGTAGTACTTGATACAAAAAAATGATCAGATTCAAAATATATAATCTTTGAATTTCATACTAAAAAAATATCAATAGTTGAAATTGACTATGAAATTCTTGATAAAATTCACAAACTTCTCTACTCCATTTAAAGAATAGTTGTTGATGAGGTTTTTGCTATTGAAAAAAGGTTGGAGAAAAGTAAAGAATCTCCAAGTTTGGTGTTATTAGATTGCCAGTATCTTTTTTTTTTACTGTTACTTACTACCTTGCAAGCATATCTTTTACAACTATATTTATGATACTAATAAGCTATTAACTGCTAATGCTTAAGTAAGATTTTAACAAATGTTTGAAGATAGTAGGTTTGAAATATATGTATATTGAGAATTAGTTAAAGTCAAAAAACTAGAAAGGACTAAAGCAGAAAAGGCTGCTGAAAATAGACGAATGATTGTGAATAAGCTAATAGAACATGTATGTGATATGTATTGGAAGATCGAGAAAGAAGGGAATGTTAAACAAACAAATACTTTTATTAGAGAATTAAATTCTCATATAGAGCCAGTTCTAATAAATAATCAGATTCATTGAAGAGGCAAGTATTTAATAATTTACTGTCATAGATCATAATTATTAAAAATTTGTAGTATAATTAACTAATAGATTATTTATTATAATTTTTATTTTAGTCATGCAATATGCACGAATGGTTCTAGGGTTTACATGGTGGTGCAAATGAAATGGAAAAAAATAAGAATAGAATTATGATTTTGTTAATCAGATCAGGCATAATTTTATTAGAATTAGGTTAGAAGGAATTAAAAAAAAATAATAAATAAAAGAATTGCTTATCATTGGTAAGGTTACACAATAAAATTTTTTTAGAGAATTTAATAATTAATTGTGAAGTATTTGATATTAAATAATTAAGAAGTTTATTACTCTAGCGATGTAAATATATTATTATAGATAATAAAAAGAAACTTCACATGATTAATTCGAAGCCCTATCTATCTTTTAAGCTTTTTTGACATGTATATATTCTTATTAAATAAAAAATTATAATGGTTATCGCGACGAGTATAGGTGAGGCTGAACTCAATAAATTTTTTTTCATTTTAATTCTACAGATATATAGAATTAAATAAATAAAAAAAAAACTATCGAATTTCGTTGGGTGATTGCTGAGATATCTTCATTCAAATTTTTTAAAAAATTTAAATATATCAAAATAATAGCTGCGGCAAAATTTTTCAAAACTTTGAGCGAAGATATCTTGACAACTACTTAACAATATTTAATGATCTTTTTTTAGTTTGATTCTACAGATATGTAGAATTAAAATAAAAAAAATTTCACCAAATATTATTGGGTGGTTGTCAAGATATCTTCGCTCAAAGTTTTGAAAAATTTTGCCGCAGCTATTATTTTGATAGGCGTTTGAATTTTTTAAAACATTTTGAGCGAAGATATCTTAGCAACCACTCAACTAAATTCGATGCATTTTTTTTTATTTTAATTCTATATATCTGTAGTAAAATAAAAAAAAATGCATCGAATTTTGTTGGGTGGTTGCTGAGATATTATCGCCAAAAGTTATAAAATGATTTGAATTTTCAATAATCACATTGTGATTATTGATCTACATAATTGATCACGTGGGTACATGGCTTTAGACGACCCCCAAATATGGAAATAATGCAGTAATGTCTTTACAATCGATTACGAAAAAAGAGAATAAGAAATTAAGCACTCGAAAGTCTTCATACATCATACCACTTCCAATTACTATAACAAACACTACTACCAGCTCCTTTAAAAATATATTTACAACTTTTTTAATCAGCCGATTTCTATTTTTAACGAACTACACTAATAATATACAAAAATCACGCGTAAAAGTGCGAGGTAACTTTAATGCGACATCTAATTCAGTTTTAGTCATAGAAAAGCAAGATATACAAAAGTTATGGACGCAAGGATTTTTCGGAAAAGGAAATTTATCGAGAAGTGAGCCTACTTTTGAGTGGAGGAGGAATTCGAATGGTAAGATAGTGTAGTAAACATTAATTTTCCTATATCCTGTGAATTATTCGTTAATTCATAAAGCTTACAGGAATCCAGCCTTTATCGGCCGAACAAATCACGCAGAACCGTAGAATTGCAAGAGCGAGAAAAAAAAAGAACAAAAAAAAACGTGTCTATTACTAAGAATGAAGATAGCAAGGACGTTACTAACGTTAATGATGATAAAGACGAAACAGAACAAACCTGTTTAACCAACACACCAGGACAGTCCGAAGTAACTTCACTATCAACTTCGATAATAAGAGAAATTGCTGGAGATGAAAATTATAATGATAATAAAGATGACAATAGTATTGCGACCACTGCCGTTGCAACTACAACTAATGCTGCTACCACTACTGCTACGACTGAAGCTTCAACTATAATTAATGATATTGTGCCAGATCAAATAGTATCCATTCAAGAACATTTACATCTTACAACTGAAGAAGCATTTTTTTTAAATTTTGGGCTTGGATGTTTAGAAATCTATGATACTAATGACGTATGTGTTTTCAATTAAATTATATATTACATAAATCTTCCATATCCACTATCACTTCTAATACACCTCAGGATTCACCACTAACAAAATTGGATAATCCATTCATTATTCGATATGTTGCATATCATTATTTTCGTAGTTTGGGATGGGTTGTCAAGGGTGGTATGAAATTCGGTTGTGATTACGGTATGTACATTACTGAAAAATCCATCCACGCTAATTAATTATGTATATTTATTAATAGCTCTTTATATACTGTATAAATAGTGTTGTACGAAAAAGGTCCTGTATTTAAACATGCAGAGTTAGTAATTAAATTATTTCATGCCTATTATTAATATTGACTAAAATAATTCAATAACAAAGTTTTTTTTTTTATTGGATTTACTAGATATTGTGTGATAGTACTTCCATACTATTATAATACTACTATTAGTAATAACGATCACTTTCGTTATAACGTTACGACCTCTTGGCAATTAATGTCAAATTTAAGCAGAGTTTGTGTACAAGTTAAAAAGGTATTTAAACGATTATTACTTCATATTTATAAAAATCCTTTTATGTTTACAACACTAATATTTAAAATTATATAAATATTAAATTCAAAATTACGAAAATATGTGTAGTCATTAGTTTTATGTTATGTAATTATTCCGCAGTTATTAGTAAAAACGATGTCAAGTTCGCCATCTCATGAACAAATTAAAACGTAATTTTTATAAATTAATATTATTTTATAATTTAAAATAACTGGAGGACCTATACTGGCTGGCAAAAAACGAATTTTCAAAATCTGACCATTATATTAAACCTTCTAAATTATAAGAGGATCATTCATAACATTGTTCATTGGATAAAATAAACATTAATTTCGATAATAAATCATTTCCCTTCCAAATTTAATTATTTTGTATATTTTAAATTTAAGAAATTTTTTTATAGACTTCCACTCTGTAAACTACTCTCTCGTTGGACGCGACTAATATACGCACGAGATACGATATTCCACGCCTCCATATAACGGTCCATGCATTTGGCAACACAAGTCTTATTAATAAAAAAAGATTGGTTATAACAATTATAAATTCAAAAAAATAAAAAATCCAATGTGATCATTATTAGATCTAAATAAATACTTGTGATACATTTTGAGAAACATTTTTCGTTAATTTTCTGTTTTGATGATTAATTTAACCAGATCAATTGACAGAATAAACAATCGATTTTATAAATTACTCTTGAAAATTGAAATTACGGAAGGATTTAAACCTAAAAAAGAAACCAAAAGAAAGAAAGAAAGAAAGAAAAAAATGCTATGACTGAAATAACCAAAGCTTCAAATTTATGTCGCGTACGTTAATGAGTTCTCGTGCATTGGCAAGTGCTAATTCATTTCTAACTTGATCCATTACTGCCTGTTTTCGGTTTTCCCTATTTTAAGACATTTAGTATAAGTCTAGCATCACCAGTCTAAAAAACTTCGCTAATCACATGATCATATAGTGGTTACACGGATCGATCAACGTTTATTAAGTTAATTTCTTTTACTTCTTTTACTGATTAATCTTTTTTTTCTTTTTATTCCTTTTTATTAG